AAAAAACTTCTTAATGTACAAAAGAACAAGAATAAAACTGGATTTTCAAAATAGAGGAATTCTTATAATCGCATAAGTTGAAAAATGTTATGCAACCCAAGAAGCTGAAGTAAACAGCTCAGTGAGGCAGGGCCCCAAGTTCCTATGATCTGACAAGCAGATGCTGCAAATACAAATCTTACTTAAGAACTCACAGCCTTATACTCAGCCAAGCAACTCTAAAAAAATACTACATGTCCTTCCTCCTATCCCACCAGAAATGCATGACAGAAATGAAGACTGCTGAATCGTTGCCAAAAATCCTGTCCTTTATTATGAGTCTCCTAATACAAAGTGTTAGCCTTTTCCCCATGGTTAGAAATGACAACGGGAAAAAGTTGGTTGTCAATCAACAGTACCCACCCTGGGGGCTCCTTTCAGAGAAGGAACCTGCCACCTGCTTACTTCACAAATTCACCAATTAGCAAGCAAGAGGTAGAGAAAAATCCCTTGGGATAGAAATGAGCTAGTATTTGGATGTCTAATTATCCAAATTCAAAACTCACATAGTTGGGATTGAACATAAGACGCCTTCTCTAACTAAACAGAGAAGGGGGAGATGCCAGAAGCCAGGACCCTCGCCCTTACCCTTACCCCCTACCTTTCCCCACCTGCACAATGTCCTCTGAAGCTTGGCAACTGCAAGATCCTGCTTAGCAACTGCAGATAGACTCAAAGCAGAGTACCATGTCTTCTTAAGAATAGCAGGGAGACCATAACTCAAGCAGTGTACCATATCTTCTGAAGAACTGCAGGTAGATCATAATTCAAGGCAGTGTACCATATAGACCATGACATGTTTCAAGGCACAGGCCAAGAAGATTTTGTACTTTTCCACCACCTGGACCCTCTTACCCCCTCCCCTTGTAAAACATGCTATAAAAAAGCATTTCATGTTCAAAAAAAAAAAAAAAGAAATTAAAATAAAATAAAATAAAATTAAATTAAAAAAAAAAAGAAATGAGCTAGTAGTGTCTATAATCAAACAGAGTATAGAACTGGATGTGTAAGAAGAGAGTTCAGCAGAGTACAGAGAACGCTCCAAAGCAAGTGGCACGGACAAGGACGGAAACCAGGCTCATTAAATACACTACGTCTCCTCCTCACAGAAATCACTAAGCAGATCAGGCAGGCCTGATCTCTGAACCCTGCCTCAGGCTCTTAAGTGCAGGCATGTGACAGCATGCTCGCTAAATAACTATTCTTAAAGAAAACATTCTTTCCAAAGAATGTCACAATTGAGAGCGAAGATGTAAATAAGCTTGCATTGCTGTAGTAGTTCTTTTCTTCAAGAAGGATATACAATACCTATAACATTTGAGACATACTTCCTCTTCCTCTGTGACTCTTATGGGTTCTCGCATCCTTGAATCTTAAAGTGATTCACGGGGCCTGGGCATGGTGGTGCTTGTCTTTAATCCTAGCAATTCGGTGGTGAATCTCTGTGCGTTTGAGCGTATCCTGGTCTACATAGTGAGTTCTAGAGAGACTGTCCCAAAGCAAAGCAAAGCAAAGCAAAGCAAACCAAACCAAACCAATCAAATAAACCAAAAAGCAAAACCTAAACAGTGACTTGTATTTCACAAGACTTGCTATGATGGATAATGGTATCATGTGGTAGTAGGCATTCACACAGCATAATTAAAGACTGGAAATTGGGGTATTTGCTTGGGTGTATGACATTTAAGAGGCCAGTAGTTTAGATTGAAGATATTTCATTATAATCATTCATCTAGGAGACAATTATCCTGACACAATGTAAGCTACATGTTAGAATTTAACTTAGAAGACCAAAGAATATTAGAGATGTTGCCAGCACCTTAAATTGTGCTTGTTGCTGGTCTCTGGGAAAACACCTGAAAGTAATCAGAAACTCTAAGGCATACCGAGCCAATCACGGGAAATTTCCAACATTTTAAAGCAGCTTATTCTTAATAAATCTAACAAAAATATTAGTTTGAAACAGAAAAAAGTGGTCAAGTGGTAGCGGCACACTTTAATCCCAGCACTCAGGAGGCAGAGGCAGGCAGATTTCTGAGTTCCAGGACAGCCTGGTCTACAGAGTGAGTTTCAGGACAGCCAGGGCTACACAGTGAAACCCTGTCTTGAAAAAAGAGAAAAAGAAAAGAAAAAAAATAGAGAAACAGTGAACAAGTAGACAACAAATTATATGCTTTTATAAAATACTTGAGTTCATATTTAAAGGATTTTCTTTATTAAAAAACAAACAAACAAATCACTCATTGTTACCTTAGTAGAATTCTTCAAAATAACCACCTTACATTTAAGATAAATCCATTTGCATAATGACTTAATTAGCAGTTAATCTCAAAAGAAAAAAGGCAGTTTTCATGCACAAATGAGCCTGCAACTTCAAGACAGATGTTGAAATTCACTTCATTCCAATAGTCAAATGGTTTTTATAGAGGTTTGGGAGAACCGATGGATTTTAAGAGAGCTAAATTAGTTCATTCAGCAACAGGATCTGGCATAGTAATTACAAAAACTCCCTCTACTTTAGTACTGTTCCCCTCTCATAGGCTTGCCTTTCAATATATTAGACATACACAATTATACAATGTGTGACTCGGGATACACAAACTATGTACAATGTAATCAATAAAGATGGGAGGGTAATTTGATTCTACAGCCAAAACCATTGTCATAAAGGGAACTTAAAGCAGATATTTATTTTTTCTGATCTACTTCTATTCTACTCCTAAAGTCAAACGTCATTTCACTGAATATTTTGGTGCACCAGAAGACGGCACGGGATGCTCTGGAGCTGGAGTTCCAGGCTTGTGAGCTGTGTGACATGGATGCCGGGAATGGAACTCACATCCTCTGCCACTAATCATGTCTGCTCTTAACTGCTGCCATCTCTCCAGCCCCTCACTTAGTATTTTCGTATGTAGCGTTTTTCTTGTTTAATTTTGACGTGACCAGCTGGAAGTTCTGTGATTTCTAAAGGAACCTTGCTGTCCACTAACACAATCTGCAAGGAACCATTATGTACTACCTTTCAAGCACTTACAAATTGGGTGACAGTGACAGCATCTTACTGAAGTTTCCTGAGTCTTTTCACAAGCTCCCTGTAGAAGATTCGGTTAGGATTACCAGTTCCCAGATGGCAAGCCTCTTCTTACTCTACCTGCCTTTTGCCCATTTCAGGGACTACAGAAGATACCAGGTGAAGAAAGGAAGAAGCCAACAACTTCCAATATTCACAATGAATTAATCAACCGTGAGGGAGTTGAACCCCTTTTCTGGATTACTTTCTGTTGGCATCAGTCTCCTTAGTCTGTACTTTGTAACTCATATTTCCTACTGGACACACATTTACAAATAACTTCAAGAAGTAACTTATACATTTCCAAATATAACCTAGATATCCCCAGTGTAAAAATAAGTGGACATACTCTTATTAAAACTCTCTGCCCAAGGGCATCACATTTTTGTGAAACAGCTACAGTTTATTAGCAATTCACACACTTTCCAGTCATTACTAGAAATGATGGAAAGCTAGGAGTATAAAATGTTTATTGACTCAATGAGAATTATATAGCCATTTGGCCAGTAGAGTATCAAAAAATATTCCCAGTAACTACTGTGAACAAAAAGTGAACAGGATAATATAATATTTTGAAAATATTTTAATATTTGCCATTTTGTTCCCTATACTATTAATATATACATTGACTTAGTAATAAATATATTACCATTACACAGAATGCAGTTATTTTTAGTATCCATCACTGATTGAAATTAATGCTGCTATTACCTTAACAAAGAGATAAATAGGTATCGTGTCCAAATTCCAACTAATGCTAACAAGAATATCATTAACAAAACTGTCAAATAAGCATATTGGACAGCATCCTTTAAAGCACAGTTCTTGTAAACAGAGTGAATACCATTTTTCTCAGTCTTGACATTCCATGTAATGGCTTTAAAGAAAAAAACATACAAATCCTATGATTTCTTTTTGTTGCATAGGGAATTAATTAGTTTGTACTTTAAAATGCAGCAGTCTTTCAATGAAATATCTTCATGGCATAGCACTTGTCTGTAAGAATTCAGAACTTTTGAGCAATAAAAGTGCTCTGCATAAGTTTATAAAATGCTTTGTGGATTTAAAATTTAACAGAAACATTTCAAAACAAGTATAGGTTATGGTTCTAAAATATTATGTACATAATATATGCCTACAGGAGGAAGTGGCTCACTGTAGTGCGACACAGTGTACAGATGTGAAGCACAGTGTTGAGTAGAATTCCCTTTATGTTTCCTCAGATTGGTGCATAAGTGGCTAATGAGTCATTGGACAACGTGTCCCTTCTTACTTGCTGCATAGAAAGCAGAAGAGAGATGTGAGGACAAATTAAAGTAGATACAGTAAGAATGGTAAAATACAGTACATATGCTTTACACAGTGCACCTTCTAAGACAGATTGCAATACTCATACTATTTTATAAAGTGCCATATTACATAAAACCAAGAGACATGAACCTTAATTCCTGCAATAACCACTAAAACAAACTGCCAGGAAAGAGCAGTGCAAAATTAAAAACAGACATAGCTTAGCATGCATCTTGGATGGGTCCTAGGTGCAAAGCATAGGACCTTAAGTTCTTAAATATTTTTTTCACTTTTTAGAAAAAGATTAATAATAGCAGGTTATCAGCATATATGACCATAAAATGAAAACAATAAGTTAAATTCTCTTTTAAGAAATAAGCCACACATAAAATTCATTATAGCATCTTTTTTCAAAACAGACCTTTTTCTCTGGTAAATCACTATCCAAAATGTGCAAGTCTCTTAAAAAACTTTCCTTGTCCACCAGACATGGCAGAAGTCTTCAAGTCTTCTTGGCAGACTTGTGAAAATCTGTGACTTATCTAAGCAGTCACCAAAGTTACAGAAACCTTTGCTGTTTCAAGAAGAGTCTTGAGCTGGCATCATGTTAGTCTGCTAAAAAGTATCGATCACGCGTCCTCTATTCACAGTAATGCTGTCTGGCCAGTGCTTTTGGACAAGGATAACCAAATAGGTTTCCCCAAAAAATATTCATTACAAGGCAGACTCCAATGAGAACAACAGGACACATCTTTTAAAGCACAGAACATACCTCAGGCACATGCTGAGGGAGCTGAGGTGCAAGGGTCAGTGAGGACAGCCTACCATTCCCGCAGCACTCAGTCTGAGAACTGGAAGAGGGTGTCTGGGTTACTGCCTTCAGTGGGGTTGCTAGGTTGCGTCTTGGTAGGCGTTGTCTTGCCATGGGAATGGGAGGAGGAGGAGCGGGAGCTCTCACTGGAGCTGCTGCGAGTCTCTGTGCTGGTGCTGGTCCTCTTCATTTTCCTCCTCTTAGCCAAAGGGGCCTTGTCCACATTCTGAAGGCAAAATCCTTCTCTCTTATATTTGTTAAAGGCCTACGGAGAAAAGGGTGGGGTGGGGAACATGAGGATTATAGCTCTAAAGATTTTCTAGAAGTTTTGACTTAAAGCAGAAGCAATTTTTGAGGCAACCACAGTTCTAAGTAGCTCTTAGAACAAAGCTTAGAAGAATGTTTCCATCTAGCTCCCAAGGCATGGACAGTTCTCTGTCACCAGTGTGGAGAAGGGCCCCACACATGTCAGGCAAGTCCTGTGACACCAAGAGACTGTGTGAACTGTACCCACTGAGCTGTCTCAAAGCCATCGTTACTTCTCTCTGTTGCTTTTCTTGTGTTAATTAAAGTATTTTATTTTATATGAGGAGGTGTTTTGCCTGCATGTATGTCTGTGTCTGGAGAGGCCAGAACAGGGAATTAAATCCCCTGGAACTGGAGTGGAGCTATCCACTACTGTGAGCTACCATACAAGTGCTGGGAATGTAACTGAGGTCCACTCCCAGAGCAAGCAGTGTTATTAATTACTGAGTCATCTCTCCAGCTACTGTTTTATGCTGATTATTGAGATGGGGCCTCAAGTAGCCCAGGCTGACCTGGGCTGATTCTCCTGCCTCTACCTCCCAGGTGCTGCGATTACAGGTGTGAGCTGCCACACTCAACTCTCTCCTTAATTTCCATCATATCGGAAAGTGCCACACTGCCGCCTGACCACCTCACATCACATGCCCCTGAGAAGAACTGGATTCCTGAAGCCATACTCTCCATTCCTTCACACTGCACATTTCTTCTGAGGCAGGAGAAGTGCTATCTCTTTCCCTTCTCTAGGATACTCCCTTCGTGTTCTTTAAGCCTCTTTCAACTCATCTTGCACTAATTCTGTGAACTCATTTGCCTCTGCTTGGGACAACTCATCTACGTCACGCCCTCTCCTTTGCTGCTGGGCACTAATGGTGCTAAATACTGGACTTTCACCCAGGCCTTAATTCCCAGTGTTCTGCTGTATACTTTTCCTAGGAAATGAGTTTTCATTTGAGAGGGTTCTTACACGTTTGAATTTTCAAACATTCAAATATTAGATTACTGTCCCCTCCAGAAATTAATTCTAAATAGCTAGTGTTTTGTGAGTTAGTAGTAACTCTGACCTGCCATGTGCTTTCTGCTCACAATATATTTACAATGTGAAGCAGTTTATAAAAACACACCTAAAATTTAAAGCGCACAACTGTTTTAAAACGTATTTATGGAGATTGTCTCCAAAGGTACCCAATAAGAACACATGAATTAGGAGTCTTTTGAAACCACACTCACACACACAACAGGCCCTTACATGAAAGGTTGCTTTCACACAAGTGTGCACGGCTGCTCCTGACGATCCCAGAATGTCTGGAGTCATCAGAGGATTGGAGGACAGCTGACTACCATCCTGAAGCCATTCATTGTATCTCAAGCCGGACATTTTCAGCCTTTTATTTGGATCAACTGTAAGAAGTCCTGCAGAAATAAGGCATTTAAATTTTATAACTTTCCACTTTAAACACAGTTTAACAATCAGCCTCAGATACATGAAGGTCAATTATGTTCTTGCAACATGATTGCTTCAATAAGCCTTTACCGCCTACATATGTATTTTCTTTTTTTTTTGATTCTTTTATTTGATATTTTATTTACATTTCAGATGCTATTCCCTTTCCTCATTTCCCTATCCTATCCCCCCTCCTCCTGCTTCTATGAGGATGTGCCCCCACCCACTCATCTACCCACTTCCACCTCCCCACCCTTGAATTCCCCCACACTGGGGCATCCAGCCTTCACGGGACCAAGGACCTCCTCTCCCACCTATGCCCGACAAGGCCATCCTTCCCTACAAATACAGCTGGAGCCACGGGTCCCTCCATGTGTGTTCGTGGTTTAGACCCTGGGAGCTCTAGTTGGTTGCTATTGTTGCTCTCCTCATGGGGCCACAAATCCTTTCAGCTCCTTCAGTCTTCTCTCTAACTCCTCCATTGGTAACCCCACGATCAGTTCAATGGTTATCTGTGAGCATCTGCCTCCGTATATGTCAGGCTCTGGCAGACCTCTAAGGAGACAGCTATATCAGGCTCCTATCAGCATGCACTTCCTGGCATCCACATCAGCATCTGCCTTTGGTGACTGCACATTGGATGGATACCCAGGTAGAACAGTCTCCAGACAGCCCCTCCTTTAGTTTCTGTCCCACACTTTGTCTCCATATTTGCTCCCATGAATATTTTATTATTCCTTCTAAGAAGTACCAAAGCACTCACACTTTGGTCTTCCTTCTTTATGAGCTTCATGTGGTCTGTGAGTTGTATCTTAGGTACTGCAAGCTTTTGGGCTAATATCCACTTATCAGTGAGTGCATATTATGTGTGTTCTTTTGTGATTGTATTACCTCACTCAGGATGATATTTTCTAGTTTCATCCATTTGCTTAAGAATTCCATAAATTGTTTTTAATAGCTGAGTAGTACTCCATTGTGTAAATGTACCACATTTTCTGGATCCATTCCTCTGTTGAAGGACATCTGGGTTCTTTCCAGCTTCTGGCTATTATAAATAAAGCTGCTATGAACATAGTGGAGCATGTGTCCAGGTTATATGTTGGAGCATCTTCTGGGTATATGCTCAGGAGTGGTATAGCTGGGTCCTCAGGTAATGCTATGTCCAATTTTCTGAGGAATTGCCAGACTGATTTCCAGAGTGGGTGTACCAGCTTGTAATTCCACCAACAATGGAGGAGTGTTCTTCTTTCTCCACATCCTCACCAGCATCTTCTATCACCTAAGTTTTTGATCTTAGCCATTCTGACTGGTGTGAGGTGGAATCTCAGGGTTGTTTTGATTTGCATTTACCTGATGAATGACTAAGGATGTTGAACATTTAGGTGCTTTTTGGCCTTTCGAGTTTCCTCACTTGAGAATTCTTTGTTTAGCTCTGTACCCCATTTTTGATAGGGTTATTTGGTTGTCTGGAGTCTAATTTCTTGAGTTCTTTGTATGTATTGGCAATTAGCCCTCTATTGGATGTAGGATTGGTGAAGATCTTTTCCCAATCTGTTGGTTGCCATTTTGTCCTATTGACAGTGTCCTGTGCTTTACAGAAGCTTTGCAATTTTATGAGGTCCTATTTGTCAATTCTTGATCTTAGAACATAACCCATTGGTGTTCTGTTCAGGAACTTTTGCCCTGTGCCCAAGTATTCAAGGTTATTCCCCACCTTCTCGTCTATTAGTTTCAGTATATCTGGTTTTATTTGAAGGTCTTTTATTCACTTGGACTTGAGCTTTGTACAAGGAGATAAGAATGGATTGATTTACATTCATCTACATGCTGACCTCCAGTTGAACCAGCACAATTTGTTGAAAATGCTGTCCTTTTTCCACTGGACAGTTTTAGCTCCTTTGTCAAAGATCAAGTGACCATAGGTGTGTGGGTTCATTTCTGGGTCTTCAATTCTATTCCATTGATCTTCCTGCCTGTCTCTGTATCAATACCATGCAGTTTTTATCACTATTGTTCTGTAGTATAGCTTTAGGTCAGGGATGGTGATTCCCCCATAAGTATTTTATTGCTGAGAATAGATCTTGCTATCCTGGGATTTTTTGTTTTTCCAAATGAATTTGGGAATTGCTCTAACTCTGTGAAGAACTGAGTTGGAATTTTGATGAGGATTGCATTGAATTTGTAGATTGCTTTCAGCAAGATGGACATTTTTACTATACTAATCCTGCCAATACATAAGCATGGGAGATCTTTCCATCTCCTGAGATCTTTTTCAATTTCTTTCTTCAGAGACTTGAAGTTCTTGTCATACAGGTCTTTCACTTGCTTGGTGTGGTTTCACTCACACCAAGGTATTTTATATTATTTGTGACTATTGTGAAGGGTGTCATTTCCCTAATTTCTTTCTGAGCCTGTTTATCTTTTGAGTAGAGGAAGGCTACTGATTTGTTTGATTTGATTTTATATCCAACCACTTTGCTGAAGTTGTTTATCAGGTTTAGGAGTTCTCTGGTGGAAGTTTTGGAGTCACTTAAGTATACAATCATGTATCATGTGCAAACAGTGATATTTTGACTTCTTCCTTTCCTATTTGTATCTCTTTGACTTCCTTTTGTTGTCTAATTGCTCTGGCTAGGACTTCCAGTACTATATTGAATAGGTAGGGAAAGAGTGGGCAGCCTTGTTTAGTCCCTGATCTTAGTGGGATTGCTTCAAATTTCTCTCCATTTAGTTTGATGTTGGCTACTGGCTTGCTGTATATTGTGTTTACTATGTTTAGTTATGGGCCTAGAATTCCTGATTTTTCTAAGACTTTTACCATGAAGGGATGTTGAATTTTGTCAAATGCTTTCTCAGCATCTAGTTAGATGATGTATATACCTAAATCTGCTTGAGGACACTGGATTTTAAGAAAAGGTCACAAGAGCCTATTTCTATGAGGCTGTACTTGAGCCAACTGGCTTTTCAAGCAGAAGAAAATAACCAGCCCTCAAAAGGACTCCAATGGTACCTTGGTAAGTTCCAGATAAACCAACACTAGCCATCTAGGATAAGGGATGTGGTAAGGCACTAGAGACTTAGGGGCAGACACTCAGAGAGTGGAAGACAGAGAGACAAAGGCAGCTTATTCTGACCTGAGAGGACCAGTACAGCCGCAAAATGTATAACAGCTGTTAAACACAGCGAATGTGTTAAGCCTACAGAGCTTCTCGGAAATGTGGTCCATCTGATGAGGAGAAGGAGCTAGACTAAAGGCGCCACGTGTGAAGACACAGAGGCCCCTGAAGGCCTGACCCGTGAGGAATTCAAGAATTTCACAACAGCAGAGAGGGTGATAAAACAAAGGCAGGCCAGCCAGGACATGTAAGGCTGGCTCTGAAGGACAGGAGTTGGATGCAAGGCTAAGAGAGATTCTTCAAAGGATTTTTTTCTCCTGAGAAAAGGTATGATGACCGTTGTCCTTCTGTTGGTACAGGGCTGACAAGAAAGTCATGTGGGCAAGAAGGAGAGAGCTAGGCAGTCAGGCCGACACCAAGGCTTCTGTTTCTGTGGTCTGGCCTTGGGGCAGTGCCATCATTCAAAAGAAAGAGAGAGAAGTCCAACATGTTGGGGAAAAGCACAGAACAGCAGATGAGGTTTGCTTTGGGTCTGATGCCAACAGGAGCCATGAGAGTTCATGCTGCAAACGAGGATGAGGTTATAAGGGAAAGTTCCAGAAAACAGAAGACGAGCCGCCCAGCAAGACCCTGAGACTCCTCATGGATTTCTGGAACAATTAACAAACACAGACTTGTGTACTGGGCATGGTCAGATTTCTTGAGTGCCTTACCTTGAATCAAATCTTTAGCCTCCTGGGATACATTCTTCCATGCTTCTCCTTCAAAAGAGAAATCACCCTTTTTAATTTTCTTCATGATTTCTACTGCACTGGTACATGTTAAACTTCTGTCATGAGACTGGAACGGTACCTGCCCTGACAGCATTGTATACTGCCATGGAAAAAGAAAGTAAAAAAATCAGAATAACTGCAAAAAGCACTGGCAAACCATGCAAATAAGCTAATACTAATTCCATCATCATAATTTATATAAGTATCACTGGACTTAAGAGACTAATGTCTATCATCAAAGTAACTAACACATTTCAAAGACTTGCAAAATGAAGTAGCACAGCTTTTATGACATCAAAATTGAAAATTATTTTTATAACTACAGCAGCCGCCATCAGTGGGGGATGAGATCTCACAATTTTTGTTTAACAGCTAGCCATCAAATTCTATGAAGAACAACTTTCTATCTTCAATTGCAAGCAGTATAGCAAAATCAAAGATATAATTATACATACATGTGATTATATACATAAAAGTCTGTTTCAACATATGTCTTATATGTATATATACATATTGACAGAGAACATACACATTGGGGAATTATAAAAAGAAAATGCAGAAAAATAGTAGACATTCTGAGTAGTATTCGCTTACATTCTCTAGTTAAAAAAAACAGTAAAAATTTGGGAACAAAGGAAAACATAAGGTGAAGAATGAAACACTTGGAGAAAATGTAGTAAATGGAATCCTGCACTAATTCACAGGCATGCTCTAGGTCCTGAACATTGTTTTATAAATACTGTGTTGTGGATGGAAGGTTTGGTCTACCTTCAATTTAGATGTGAATACCCAACATGACTGTATTTAGAGAAAAGGCTTTTTTGAAGGTAGGTACTGATGACGAAAGGAAGTTATGGGCGAAGGTCCTGATCCAATCAGTACCCTTAAGAGAATGGACCCAGAGTCCTGTCTATTCACGCACATGCCACAGAAAGGCTGAGTAAAGAGAGAGCCAGCTGTCCTCAGAGGGAGGGTCTGCACCAGACACCAATCTTAACACTCTGGCCTTGCACTCTCCAATCTCCAAAAAAATGAGAAAATAAGTCTCTGTTGTTTCACTCAGTCTGCAGTATTGTGAGCTGCACAAGCAGACTGATACGCTGTACAAGCGCTACTTTAATTAAGGTCCGGTGTATTTCAAACAAGAAATGAACATTCTTGATGTATACTAAATTATAATGAAACCACAGTATATATTTCCTTGGAGTAATTTATTTGATTCAATAAAGGTAACAATTTATTTTTATTTGAAAACATTCCAATTTATTAAATGCAAGATGAAAGAGGGGCATCTAATTCCAAAGTAAAACAAAGAACTCCAAATAAATGTTGTGCTTGGTATGCTTAATGCAAGGTTAGGATCTAGTTAGGATCTCGTATCTGAGACGCGTTCATTTTATGGGGAAATTAGCAAAACTCTTTTTTGATTATTTGATATAGTTGCTGATTTTGCTCATTTTCTTTTGCTACTGTTTTCTCATGTATCTACAAAAGATGAGGCTTTAACAAACTATAATCTGACAGCATCACTCCTAAAAAAAAAAAACAGCAGTAATTTTTTTATAGTGTTCGCTAATGAATGGTCATATTTTGTAAAAAGAATGTTGTATTATGTACACTGAGTATATATTATAATTATAGCTATATCAACTAATTATACTTAGAGTGTGAATTTAACAAACAATTTAAATTAGGTTTTGTGGAATTAGGATTAAAATAATACACAAATTCTGCACCTTAAGGGTTTCTAATGCATGGTTTGCATTTTGCTTTGTTTGTTTGTAGAGACAGAATTTCACACTGTGACCCAGGCTGGCCTGGAACTTGAAAGTTCTGCTGCAAGCCGGGTGGTAGTGGCGCATGCCTTTAATCCCAGCACTTGGGAGGCAGAGGCAGGCGGATTTCTGAGTTCGAGGCCAGCCTGGTCTACAGAGTGAGTTCCAGGACAGCCAGGACTACACAGAGAAACCAAGCCTCGAAAAAACAAAACAAAACAAAAACAAGAAAGAAAGAAAGAAAGGAAGAAAGAAAGAAAGAAGGAAGGAAGGAAGGAAGGAAGGAAGGAAGGAAGGAAGAAAGAAAGAAGAAAGGAAAGTTCTGCTGCTACCTGGCCTCCTGAGTGATGGGATTATGGGTATGAGCCACCAAGCCTGGCCTCATGACATCTTTTTTCCTTATAAATTATCTACTCAAAAAAACTGGTAGTCTGTACAATACAGTGAACACTATACAAAAACAGTGCCCACTGTGTGTGACTGTGACTATGCTCTATGACACCATTAACCTTATTTTATCCTGTTTTTCTTAAACATTTAACCATTAAATCTAACAGGCAGGGTGGCTTCTACCCTTGCCTTTCCAGTGGGTTGTTTTCATATACATACATACATACATACATACATACATACATACATACATACGTATGTACATGAAATTAATATATGTATACGTAAGAAATAATTAGAACACACTTAAGAGTTTGATTACATTTATTTGTATGTCTGAGACTCTTTGAAAACCTTAAAAGAGCTTGATGGTCACAATGGCCTAAATTTAAAGTACTGTCTCTTTTATAAAGAAAAAGAAAATACAAAAAATGAAGGGCTCTTTTGTATTTACATGTTTTTAGGACACTGCTAATAAACTATCATCAATTTAAGTCCTTAAAACTCTCCGACCTGCAGAAGCTGATAACTTACTTCTATTTAAACGTCGTATCCCTAACCATGCAAGCTTAGATTGAAAGTGATAGATGAAGACTTAAGTGCCCAGATGAAAGCCATAGAAGGCTGAGAAATGAAGAGCCGACCTGCAGGGGCAAGCGGCTAGCCACCAGGGAAAACCAAACACCGACATCAAAACAAACCCAGATGGAACACAGATGGCGGTGTAAAAATAAGATGGTGGTTCTGGAGGAGGTTTACAAGAGTATTTCTGTAACCCTGAATTGAGGACAGGGACAGTGACAACCTGACATCAAAGCCACTCACCACGAAGACAAGAATGACATATCTTACCACAGAGAAATTCAAAAGCAAAACCACTTCTCCTTAAACTTCTCTAAAAATACAATCAAAATCCTATTTACTATAAACAAAAGGTAAGCCACAGAAACATTTCCAATTATTGATAAACACAAAGGCTAACAATCTTCATTAGAGCTTTCTCTGTAAGAAAAGCTGTCTAGAGGAAAATCGGCAAACTCATAAATGGCAATCCATAAAAAAAATATAAATATCCATATGTATGAAAGAAGCTCAGACTGTATATTCAAAGAAATGCCTGCAAATGTTAGAACAGAGGTGTATTTCTGGAGGTTAAAATTGATGCCCCCCAATGTGCTCACATACAGTTAATGATGTGCACTAACCCAACAGAACAAAATCTATGTTAAAAACAAGCACACCTTCCTGGGAATCTAAGGAAACTATAAGACAAATGCAACTGTGTATATGACAAAGAGTCATTCTTATAGCTTACAATTAGTGAAAAAGGGGAGCAAATACTAACGGTTCACTCCCTAAAGAATGGTTCAAAAAATGTTGGAGACTCAAACTGCAGGTATAATATAACCTGTAGATTTAATGGTTAAATTTTTAAGAAAAACAGGATTAAAAATCAGTTAATGGGTGTGGGGCCCATGACAATCTCCAGCTCTGCCTGGTGTGGGGGTCCGGGCCAAGGAGACAGAGTGCGAGCAGGGAGGGGAGATCTCCTGCCTCCACTGCTGCCTCTGCTGGCATCTCTGCTGTTACTGCTTGGTCACTCCAGGTGCTGCACCTATCTCTCTGTGCTGAGCCAGCCTGGGGTGGGCCAATAAGAAGCCGGCTAGCTGGCAAGGAGGCAGCTTGGTGTCTCAGGCAGGTTCCAGGAAAGCAGATCTCTTCCCAAGTGTTACAGCTCTTGCAACAGAAACTCTCAGACACCAGGATGATTCTCAAACACACTTTTACTTCTCCTGAATAGAGCCCTTATATACAGTTTCAGGGTGGGTTAGGGTCTGGCAGCAGAAAACGCCTATTGGCTTGTTCTGAGAGCTTGGAGATACCTCATCTACATGTGGGAGAGCCTGAGGCACTGTTCCTCATGATTGATGGCCATAGACCTCTCTGTGGGAGGGGCTGTGGAGGGTTGAAGCTAAATGAAAAGAACCAGGGCCCAGGAGCAGAGCCGAACACCTGCATCAGATAAGGGTCCAGGGTTCAAGGCCTCTGCTCGACCAGGCGCCCAGTTGCTTCTCACAGCCCACTGCCCCACAAATGGGGTCATAGAGCATAGTCACAATTGGGCTCTGCTACTGTAGAGAACAGTCACTGGTTTGAAACAAACAAACCCCAGCCACCCTATATGCATATGCTGTGTAGACAAAGGCAGACTAAAATCCACATCCACTCGGTGAGAGAAGGGGAGAGAAGCTTCTACAGCAGCGTGGCAAGATGTGACTCCCAGTTTCTCTTCAGTGTCTGCAAGTTCCTCCCTAGCTCTCGGCGTTACAGATTATATGAAGACCAAGTAATGCTATTTTGAGGTGAACAGATTGGAGGTTTCTCTAGTTTCATATCATGCACGCTTTGTGTAAGTATGTTCTCCATATTACCATAGGAACTATTTATATTTCTAGTTGTATCTATTAAATGTGTCGATTTACCCTAAACAATTTTGTGTACTTACACTTTTAGTGTGGAATTTCAGAGAATGTGTTTTTATTAAGGAGCCACTATTTTCATATTCTGTCTAATACAGTATACATCTTATGTAAACACAACACTAGCTTCTTTCAAAACAACAATGTATACTTATATGAACCACTGTAATTTAAACCTTCCAAAATAACTAAATTCTACATTGTTTTCTATTATAGGATCTAAGAAGCAGAAATATACATTAGTGGGGCCGCTGCTGGTTATATGGAAAACAAACCAGCACATAGAGATTTTTCATGAACTTAAGAAAAACAGCAGTGAGAGCTAAGCACCAAGGCCACCAAAGAGCAGACCAGGCTCAGTGGCTGGTGGGGCAAACTCACCAAGATGACACCCAGGCTCCACAGGTCACAGGACTCATCATAGCCGTTGTGTGTCAAGAGCTCCGGTGCTGCGTAGTGAAGGGTGAAGCACGGGGTCTTGAGGGGCTGATTGTCAGGTGGCTTGAGGCGAGCAAACCCAAAGTCAATCACTTTAATTTCCAAATTGTCATTTTCATCGGTGAACAATAAATTCTGTAGGATGCCAATACTCTGGTTAGATTCTCATGGAAGTGCCAGGAAATCTGCTGATCTCTCTACAGAACATTGTCTGTGTATTCTGGTATTTGACCCGAGCACACAGTCTCATGGGGCAATCTGGGGCCTGGGTGTCAACGCACCACTAACCTCTTTTTTATACTGTTTTGTATCACTTCAGATTTTACAGTGTCATATTAAATACTTCTTGACTGCACCATGCTTCTCCAAGCCAGTCCCTTTGTCTCCACTCTTCCTTCTGTCTGAGCCTGTTTTCCACTCCCTCAGGCACCTCACTTGCACTTGCCTGACTCCTGTACATTCAATCCCATTTAGAGATAGATGCTGCCCTAACCTCCCTACCACACTGTAGTTCCAATTTCCCCTATTTTCTCCCACCATGCTTTAGTTTTCCTTTAGGGCACTTATCATCTCTCTATTTTTAGCTGGATATTCTTGTCTCCATCAGACAATAATAATATAAGGGCATGGACTTTGTGTCCATTTCATTTATGATACTGTCCCTGGGGCCTGGCACAGGTCAGTATAGGAATAATTCATTTTATTAGACTGTCTTTTTAAAACAGTCTACAGGTTTGTGGCAGCCCCACGCTGAAGAAACCATTCAACACCATTTACCCCAGAAGCTGTGTTTAAGCTGTGTCTGTCAGATTTGGGTACATTTTACAATATGTCAACCTTTTTAATTACTATTACATTTATGTGGTGATCTGTGACCAGTAATCTTTAATAATTAGAGATTAGGTTTATTTACTTTTGTTTTATGCATATGAATGTTTTGCCTGCATGAGTGTCTGTGCCTGGTATCTTTGGAAGCCAGAAGAGGTTGGATCCTCTGAAACTGTAGTTACAGAAGGCTGTGAGCCACCATGGGAGTGCTGGGAATTGAACCTGGGTCATCTGGAAGAGCAACAACTGCTCTTAACCAGCCATCCCCAGTGACTAGTAATCTTTACTATTGTTATTACTACTGTCATTGCTTTGGGGACTATGAATTGCATATATTACAATGAATTAAATAAACACTGTATGTTGACGATATCACAGGACAGATGTCTCTCATCTCTCTCCTTTCCTCAGACCAATCTCATCCCTGGGATACAATATTGAAATTAGGCCAATCAATAGTCCTATAAAAATGAAATGGCCAAGTGAAAGGAAGAGTCATATATCCTGTAGTGAGAATTTTGATTTCTTTAAAAAACACAGACTATGTTTTTGTTTTAATCTCAGGTGTGAGATATGGAGCTGCTTCAGATAGTCCATAGCAGTTGACTATGATTTGCCTCATGCTCTAACAGGGATGTGATTTTGCCAGCTGCACGTAGTTTCTGAGATGTTTGGAATTCTGGGGGCTTCTTAGAGGGTTTATAAATGCTAGGGCCCAGGAGGTGGTTGTGGGTTGTCAATTAGTTGTGATTTGTTTAGTAGTTGTGCAAAAAAAGAAAAAAAAGAAAAGAAACAACAAGAAGAAATTAGATATTCTGACTTGGACAAGATCAAACTTGCCCCAAGGAACTCGACGGCTCTAATCAGCAGGAAATAGTCTAATTGTCACTCCCCCACCCCTTATGTTCCTTGACTTTATTCAGGGATTTCTTTCCTTTCCTTTCTATCTTTTTCCCTCTTATCTAGTGTTAGGAGGTTGAAAGGGTGAAGAAGGGTGGAAGAAAGAAGAACGAAGAGCCACAAAGGAGCAAAAGTAATCTACAATATCCCCCGCTTTAAAAGAAGTGAAGTTCAGTGAGGAAGGCAAGTAGGAAAGACAGACAGCAGAGGCCAAATGAAGGCATCTTGTGCCAGTTAGCTAAGTTATGAATGCACAGTCAGAGGTATTGAAAGTTAAAAGTATGACTCAGCAAATATATAAATGATAAAAAGCAAAAAGGTTATCTTGTTCATGTGAAGAAAATCGGATAGCTCAAACCAGCCATTCATTCCCTTAGCTAACAATGTAGGCTTGTTGCCTGCGTAAGATCAGCAAGTGATAATAGCATCAGCTGATATTTCAATATAGATAAGAGAAATCTTACAAAGCCCTACCAGCCTTAGATGAAAAGCTATAAGCAATTAATGGCTTCCCAGAAGGAAAATCATCTTCTCCAGGGACAAGCCGATAGATTATCTAATCTCAAGCAGCCAGCAGGAGTGAGGGGGCACAGCAGCTGGAGTGGGGAGAAGGTAAGCAGAAATGATGTAAATATGGCAATCAGTTATGAAATTCTAAAACAGAAAAAAAACTTAATGTAAAAAAAAAGAGAGACGATGAAGTGGGAGGAAAAAGCAAAGAAAGAAAAAATTAAATAGTTTTTTTTTAAACAGTTTTCTATCATACAATGCCTAGACCTTATTTTTTGACAATTGAGGTCACCGCTCATGGGTGTTTTCTTGGGACATATCTGTCCTTCAGCAATTATACTGGAGGTTCTCTGCAGTGCCAGGCGGTGTGCTACACATCTTTCCAGAAGCATGTTCGGCTCCATCTCCACAGGGCCTATTAAGGCTCTGGAAAGGACAGGATTATTCCACTAAGGCTAATTCCTTGGTTGCCGTGGAGGAATCGAGAGAGTGGGGCATTCCCTGACAACTTTAATCCTCCTCTTACACAACATTTAAAACCAGAGCCTTCTGCTCACTTCCTACCTCCTGCCCCAGGGTAGCAAGGGAAGTGTCAGGACAGTCTCATGGGAGTGTGCATGGCCAGGACAGTCTCACATGGGTGTGTGCATGGCCAGGAAGGGACACAAGGAACGGTCGAGCCACTTCTATCCTCATCTCAGTTCCTCCCTGAAAATCCTATCACATCCAGAACTGTCTTAATCCTTTAAGGGGATCAATATGAAGACTACCAAGCAGCCCTCTAAGAATGTCAGCCAGCTTCTAAATCTGTCTGGTTCTCACCTAGAGCTTAGAGTTAGGACTATGCAGAAAAAGAATCCATCTAACTATCTAAATAGTCACAACTAAAATGCTGCATAGGAAAGGGATTCAACTTTTAGTCTGGAAATAATATACTCTGCCATTTAAAAGTCAAAGTGAGAGCTATGGTTAGGAAAATGTTAGTTCAAAGGTACATTTTTACTTTCCTAAAACCTAGTTTAAGAATAAAACGATGGTAGAACATACAGTGCAATCCAACAGTTCTGCTTCATTTCAAGCTACAGAAGCATCTTTTTGATCAGGAAAGTAAGAAGACAAATTTAAATTCTGCTGCCGAGGACATGTGCCTCATTTGAGACTCATGAGATGACAGATGGCCAGTTATCAAAGAATAAAACATGTGAAAATGAGTTCCATACAGTCATGGAGCAGATCTTTTCCATTAAAAAACTACATGCCTGTCCCTTGTCTATCAAGCAAACATTTAAGTGGTGTGCTTTCACATTTAAACTAGACAGCTCATCCCGGAGCCCAGAGCGCCATGTTTTCAGTGGGTGTTACGTAGGAGAGTGAGAACTGGGATGAAGGAAGCAGAGGGGAGCCAGCATAGCTGTGAGTTCCTAAGACACAAGCCACTTCTGATTAATTACAAGCAATGTGAAGAACAGTAATACAAAGTACTCAGAAATTTAAAACCTTAAAGGAATAAATCAATTGTCATCAGCCTTCTGTCTCCCTGAGGATCACAACTGTGGGTTCAACCTACTATGCACTGAAAACTTAAAAAAAAACAACAAGACAAAATAACCTACCCCCCAAAACAAAAACAACAAAAAAATCCCTTCAAATACTGTACAGAATATGCAAAGATTTCTTTTTGTGATTATTCTCTAAAATATACACATTTACATATCACTTACATCAAAATATATATCACAAATAACCTAGAGAGAGGATTTAAAGTATACAAAAGAATCATGTAGGTTATATGAAAATAATATTCAATTTCACTTAAGAGACTTAACATCCATAGGGAGCTCAGGGACCAATTCTCCACAGATACAGAGGGATAGCTGTATTTCAAATACATATATTTCCACTTTTAAAATACCATTTTTTTTGAGACAGGGTCTCTGTGTGGCCCTGGATGTCCCAGAACTCACTCTGTAGACCAGGCTGGCCTCAAACTCAGAAATCCACCTGCTTCTGCCTCCCAAGTGCTGGGATAAAGGTATGCTCCACCACTACCCATCTTTTAAAACATTTTTTAATAATTTAAGCACAAGATAAAAATTGCTTTTGCAGAAATATTCTTTTTTGATTTAATAAAAAAGGAACACCAAACCCATTAATATTTTAAATAGATTTGAAAATATATTATGATCGCATAGAGACTAAAAATAATATCCTATTTTAGACCAGAAACATATATAATTTCTCATATGGTAAAGGATGATTGTCTTTTTTTAAAGTCATTGGCTTTTGTTTTCCAAGCTCATTATTACTTATTTTTAAAAAGGGAGGAATTTTCATATTTTTGATACTAAAAAGGGATCATTCTGAGTTAAAACCTTCTTAATTAACCTTCCGAAGGAAATATAAAAAGCCACTGCTCTGCACTGCTCTCCGGGTCTATAAATACCGGTCGTGAGCACACTGAAGCACATACAGAGAGGACAGCTTATTAAACTAAGACAGCCTCATGTGTGACTACGTACAACAGAGTTACATACAGTACAGTTTAGGAGCTATCAATTTGATTTAAAAATGTGAAAATTAATGTTTCAAAATACACTATCGAATGAACATCCCCCCCCCAAGATGGAATACATATAGCAGGGTTATTATTTTTTGCTACAAAATTTTCCATCGCTATTTTTAGTATACGACTGTTGCATGAGGCATTTTCCCATAAAAGGCTCTCACACTTACAAATATAACCTCAAGATGATCAGCTGGCAAGAGGGGAAAAAAGAACAAATTTATTTTAGACTGACACAGAAAAGAGAAGAGAAGGAAAAAACCTAAGGAACATCTTCCAGTATTTACTTACTGGCCCAAGAGAAAAAGCAAGCCTCCTAAAGCCTGACAGCTACTCTAAGGCTAGCTAACAAGGAGGGCAGGCTGAGCTGTCCGAGGTCCCGCCGTCCCACCTCAGGCTTCAGATCTCGGTGCACCACACCGACGTCGTGCATGTGGCTCACGGCCGACACTAGCTTCCGCATGATGTAGCTGGCCTCGGTCTCGCTGAAGTGCTTCTTTCTCTTGATGCGTTCCAACAACTCTCCGCCATTCAGAAGTTCCATCACAAGAAACGTATGAAGCTGGGAGGATGAAAAGAGGCAGTAATGGGGGCCTTATGAGAAGACAAGGATTACTCTATAGGTTATTTATTGCTCAGTGATTTTAAATAATCCCTTGCTTAAACAACCTGTAACAATCCTTGGATTTAGAGTAAAGAGTTATGGAATAGTGTAGTTTTTTAGAAATCTATTTTAGCAATGAAAAAATTTCAAGTATTTCAGCAAAATCTTACAGTTTTTTCTTTTACTTCATTTTATTTCTGTTGAACTCCATTTTAATCTTCTCTCGAGTTTTTATATTTTCACCTTAAAGTTGTGAACTGAACTGACAAAATCTATGGTAAATAACTCGGGGGTTTGCTAACAAGTGTCATGTGCAGCTTCTGCCACTCAGCTAATGGGTAGTTTCCCTTGAAAGAAAGGTAGTGTTTGATAACTCCAGGGCTCAATGGTTAATTACAGGATTCCTGAGGATATTTACTGCAAATATCCGCAACTCACTGTGGAGGAGACCTTCCTCCTGGCTGTTTGCAGAAGAGTCTCCTCCTGGCTCCTTCTTATCAAGTGTAGAACTCTTGGCTCCTCCACCACCAAGTGCTTCTCACCAGGACGATAAGAGACTGAACCTCTGAAACTGTAAGCCAGCCCCAACTAAATGTTTGCCTTTGTAAGAGTTGCCTTGGTCGTAGTGTATCTTCACAGCAATAAAACCCAATTGAGACACCTTTATAAACTCTAGGACCCTTAGCAATAAAATATAGGTGATTAAAAAAAGCTACGGATGGAACTGTGAATGATGGCCTCCAGATGCCATGTCCTAAGCTTCAAACCCATGTTTCTTATCATAGATGGCAAAAAGGACTTTGAAACTGTAAATAAGTTGCTTTTATTGTTGTTGTTTTGTTTTTTGAGATGGGATCTCACTGTATAGACCAGACAAACTTTGCACTTAAGAGATCTGCTGCCGCTGCCTCCTGCATGCTAGCATTATGTGCTACCACACTTAGCCCCGGATTAATGTTCTTTATTAAAAAAGATGTATTGTACATCTATGAGATTAGACTACACAAGCAAGAGATTAGAGTACTGCACAGAGGGGTAACAAGCTAAAGAAAATGAGTGGCCTCCAGAAGCTAAGTCAAGTACACAAGTTGTCCTTAGAGTCTCCAGGAGGAGCTAGCTCTGTCTACTCCTTGACTGATCAGGGACTCTGACTACAGACTTGTTAACTCCAGCCATTGTTTTAATAGTAAACATATTAAGTCTGTGGTAATTTGTTATAGCAGTAGTTAGGAACATACAGAGGATATAAAAAGATAACAGCACACAAATGCACTGCACTACCATATAGTCAAAGGTTGAGAGCCACCCTCGTTCACCATCACTACTGGTTGGAAATAGGACTTCATAGATATGAGAATCACCTATCATGGGTAAAACTCTAGAGATATATTTCAATAAGTGCATAGCAGAATTATTATTATATTTATACTAATACATGTAGCATTAGATCATAAGAAAATTCTTATTCCAGTGACTCTTAAATTTAAAAATTGCCAAAAATAAACTTTTAACATAAATTTAAAAACTAGGTATAGAATTCTTGAGATATGACATTAGTCAGAAGGTCCAAGATCCAATGTTTGGGCTGAGATTCAATGAGAGTTACAGCTGCAAGACCAGAGGTGGGGATGTTTGAGGTCATCATCAGTTTCTTGATTGATAGGTGAGTTTTCTCTGTATTTGAGGACGCTGTCTTTTAGTGTGCACCTAAATGGACAGGGATTCACTGCTCCCTGAATCTGAGTAGGTCAATAAGGTAGAAGGCTGTTGGGAGCTGACTCCCAGCCGAAAGCGGCTGTCATCTTTGCAGCCATCTCAGGCCAGATACCCTGACAAGAGACTTGTTTTCAACAGCCCGCAACAACTGAGCACACTCTGATAATTATCTTGTTTTTCTCACATATCTTGTTTTGCTGTTTAGTGCCGCCAGCTGCAAGGCGCACGTGATATCCACACTGCTAGGTCACGTGGTCTCCTCACTGCTAGCTAGGCGCGCACGTGATATCCACGCTGCAAGGCATATGACGTAGTGCCTTCAGCTGTGCTTGTCCACGAGGGCAAGGCACGTGGTAAAGGGTAAAGGATTTCCTTCCAATAAACGAGACTTGAAGAGACTTGATCAGACTCCCTGTCTTGTCTCCATTCTTCGTGTCTCCGCCCCCACTCTCTCTCTTGCTAGACCCTGACCTGCGGACCGGAGCAGCAGAACGGGCCGTTACAAAGTGGCCCCCCGAACGTGAGGCAGCTCGGGCGGCTACAAAGTGGCGCCTCAACGTTGGAGCTCCAGTAAGCGGGGTACAGTGAAGGACACAGCGGGAATTGGAAGCGTGCATCCTCACTCCTGCACTGGAGACCCTGCTGACTGACCCGAACAGGTTGCTACAGAAGGCAATGGAGAATGGAGGTACAAGGAGAACATTCTCAAGAGTTCTTGCTTCAAAAGCTTCTCTTCTCATGAGAACCAGAGGAACAAGAAGATGATACCGACTTTAGGTGTTTGTTACCTGACATAATAACCAGGCTGTGTATCTGCCTCCTCTAACATAGCAAAGTAATTAAAAGCTTGTTGAGTTCTGAAGTTGGGATGGTGGGGCTTAGATACCAGACTTACCATTAACAAACTGAACTTCAATGAGTTGTTTTCTGACTTCACAGTGTTAAGGCAAGGACTAAGATAATACATGTAGAGTTTAAAGAACAGTGCTTGGGCCACATACTGCATAAATGGCAACAAAAATTATATTTGCCATGTGTTCCTGCTGCCATCTTATATCACCATGATGAGTCATTCTAGCCAAAGAATGTCACATCAACAGAATGATGTGTGCCTAGAAGAGGTTCTCCTTTCTAGATTTTCACTGACTACTGATCCTGGTACAAGTCTCAAGACCTTTAGGAATCTCAGGTTCTTTATTGTTAAAATTAGAAAAAAACATGTTCCGGACTTGTTTTGGCATTTGTGCCTTAATATGCATAGCAGGGTAACAAGCTAAAGTCCTGAGAAGGCTGAGATACCTGTCCAGTGTCAGAGAAAACAATACTGAAACAGCACAATTTCAGGCATGGGAGGTGGCAATGCAGGGAGCTGAGAGGTGCTATGGCCCAGCCACACCAAGGCTTCCCCTCTGTCCAAGTAACAGGCTTCCACGTGAGACTTGTGTTGAAAAGCAGAGCTAAGAGTAGAAGAGAGCAGAGAACAACCTGTCCTGGAGGCTGAGCTGATGCTGCCACCTGGAACAAGATGAAAGGGAACATCTGTGTCTTTCTGCTTCCCATTTGTCCTTGAACTTGAAGCAAGTGGGCTTAAGAGTCAGTCAGTCTGTTTGATGCTAGAAATGTAAAGAATGTTGAAGGCTTAAAGTCACTAAGTACTGACTGTACAGTAATGGAGTGAGGGTGGATGACAGCTGCACTCACAATGAGCACACTGCAATCTGGGACAGTGGCACACTGGGCTCCTGCCCTCTACCATCCACCCATGCCAGTATGGCAACGACGGATGGATGCGAGCTGCAGTAAAAGGATGAACGGATGTAGAGGGGAGAGTGTGTGCACTGCTTTCTCTCCCCTTCCCAGAGGCTGGGTGATAGTACATGGCCCTGACTATAATGTTTGTTGCCAGTTCACTCAGCAGCACCAATAAAACTGGTGAGAAGTTGAACCCTGTATCTGACTTAGCCCATGTGCATGGATGGAGGGAGTCAACAAAATACCTGGTCATGAAAAACTTCATGTAGCTTCACAATATTGGGGTGTCCTTCGCAGAGTTTCAGGGCTGTTATTTCTTTCTGAGTGTTGGCTTCCATCCTGCAAGATCAAATAGTTAACCTCTCTCTGTCTCTTCTAGCAGAGGTTTACATCAGTGTTCCTGCCCTGATTGTTTTTATTTACAGTAGATTCAGAATACCTGTGTCAAAGTCTCAAAATGACATATCCACAAAAGTAATAATCATACCATCCACCAGGAAAGTAAAATTTTTTTAAAAAGAAAATTATTCCCTCTGAATCAGAAGAGAGCTAGTCACACAAAGAAATGGATGCTCTTCCTGCTGATAATTTAGGAATGGTAATAACCCGTTACCAGAACAACTAGCTGACTCTGTTCTCAAAGCCATTGGGAGGCTTGCTAAGTACTTTTGACTTCAAATATTCAACTAACAGAAGTCACCAAGCAAATCTGATTAAATATATCATTACCACAAGACAGTTTCCACATAGAACACAACAGGTTCTGATTTGTCTAAAACTGATTATTTCATCAGAAAACATCAGTGCTAGACGTACTGGAGATCAGCTAATAAGGTGAATAACTAAACCTATGTGTAAAAAGCCTCGCAAAGGAACAGTTGATTTTCTTCTTCAGAACTTTCAGAACTCCCTAAGTAGTATAAAGCCGAGAGAAAGACTACTAGTACTGGCCATACCTTTTGCTGATTATTTTGACAGCAAATGCTTGGTTAGTTTTTTTGTGTACACACTTTCGACAAATTGAAAAACTTCCTTCTCCCAAAGGTTTGTCCTTCAGATCTAGGTCATAGTGTTGATAGAATGGTGAGTCCTGATAAAAGAGCAACATCTAATTTAACAAAAGGTTGGTAGTAATACACAAAGAGTATGTAAAGCTGTAATTTAATGTGAAATGATTAACAAATTTGAATGCAATATATTGAATCATTAAAAGTCATTTAGTACATTTATATTTTCATCTATACATTTGTACAGAATACACTGTCCTTTATTATGGCAAAAAGAAGCTCATACACATTGATACTGACAATCTTCTAGGGAAACACTGCTATCTCCACTTATTTATTGATTAGTAGATTTCCTAGACTTAAGACCATCAACTGGTGTTGAAATATTGACCCAACCCACAGATCCATCACTGAAGCAGCCACATCTGTGTACCTTCATCATTGCGCTCCTGGCAACATTTGTCGCTCCAGGACGGTCAGCTCCCATATGGAACTGAAGAGGATCTATGACAGCCGCGTTACGCTTGAAGAGAATAGAAGGAGCAACGAAGGAATAGCCCTGAAAAGAGAAGAGATGCTAAAGAACAAAGAGCTGCAGTCTCACAGCTGGGCACAGTCTAGATGGCTATCACTTCTTTTCATAGAAAAAAAATGTTCAGATGAAGATAATTTTATTTGCATTCAAAATACAGCATCAACTCAATAGCAAATGCTTTTCAGAAGGAGATAATGCCATCTTCTGGCAGAACTAGCTCAATTCAAAAATAAAGGCAGAAAGATTTCCTCCCTATTCTATCCCCAAATCTGATGCAAGCCTGTAAGCCTGTTGCACTGCTGATAATATTCGTTTATAAACTCAACTGACCTCAAAAAAGATACAATCAACACATCAAATAAAGTGGCCCAAGAACTGCTTCAAACTAGAAAAATAACAAGCTTCATAAAAGTTCACCTTTAATTTAGCAATTATTGAATTTGCATTCTATGTTTTGAGAATAACTAAACTTAAAACTGAGTTTTGGAAAACAGTAAGCCCAGTGAAGGGTGATGTGGGAAGCTGGAGTGATGAGTGACACTCCAGCACTCTGTGCACGCTACGGCATTTACTAGTTTACCAACAAACACCTATATGTGGTTGGCCATGTTCTCCAGTGTCGCAGGACAGCCAAGAGGCACACTCTGCATGGCCAGAGCAGGACAGGCACTTGCAGGTCAGAGAAGTGCAGCCATGACACAGTTCAATAGGCAGAGTAGCTTGTAGCTAATAAAGAACCTTTCCTAAAAAAATTCTGTACTGTTAATTTTTAAGTTAAGATACAAGGCAATGTGTTTTATATAACATTTCACACACACACATATACACATATTGCTGTGATAAAATACTCTGACAAAAATAAACAAACACTCTTACAGGGGGTGAAGAGATGGCTCAGTGATTCAAAGTGCACACTGCTCTACTCTTTCAGAGGACATTATGTTCCCAGAATCCACATCAGGCAGCTTACAACTTGTAACTTCAGTTCCAAGGAATCCAATACACAAACACCACACATACACACACACACACACACACACACAAACACACACACAGAGAGGCATGCACGCACACGCACACACACACAAAACTAACTTAGGGTGAAAGGGCTTATTTTAGCTCACAGTTCCAGATTATAGGCCATCATTGTAGGGAAGTCATGGACTTTAAACCCAAAGTCCTTAAAAATCCTTCCTTCCTTCCTTCCTTCCTTCCTTCCTTCCTTCCTTCCTTCCTTCCTTCCTTCCTTCCTTCT